TTTAAGACTTCTAAGTGGACTGTTTCCCGGGTACTGGTGCTTTGTCCTCGTTCTTCTATACCTCGGTTACGAGAAATGCGTTAGCAACAGTTTAATCCTTTTTATTGTTTGTTTCTGCAGAGTCCTGCTTAGCAGCTGCACAGATTTGCTAGCACAACGAAATTTCTCATTTTGCCCGGCAGGTAGTTTAATGGTAGTCGGGATTGAAAACTGAATTTATTGGCTGTTCAGTTACTATACTCACTTAAGGGGACCGTTCCGATTAACATTAAACTTGATAAATGCTGCGTGGACGGTACTTTCGAGGTCGTAGGTGCAGGCTGCAACAAGACTGGGAACCTCGAAATCCACTGCAACTTTGTTCGTGCCAAGAATCTGCGAGACTCGGGTCAGCTTGAAGTCAGAGGCCCCGGAAACAGTGGCACTGTTAAGTTTAACTTCGGCCCTGAAAAGAAACTAGATGTAAAGTGCTGAAACAATTCTTTCACGGTTCACCATTAATTACTGCGAAAACAAAGGTGCTAACGCCTACCTTTAAAAGGCACTAAGGGCTTAGTGCCTTTCAAAGGCACCAAACTGAAAATGTGTTTAGTGCCTTTGAAAGGCACTAAGCCCTTAGAGTTTATAAAGTATCAAGGTCATTATTCTATTTCTGCGGACGTGGTGGTGTTGACAGCCGGTGTGATCCTAACGTGCGGAGACGGTAATTTTTTTTCGATGTGTTGCGTTACGTCCTAACAACCTCTGCGTTTATTGTCCACATAAAGTTTATTTGTGACAGGTCGTTAACAAAGTTGCTACCATGCATTGCACATATGGTTACTCTCGTGTCAATCAGTTGTTGGCGAGTTCAAAGTGCAGAATCAGATTTATAACCTGAAACTCAAAGTTCTCAGAATGGCAACTTATACTCTGAGATTTTAAATCTGATTCTGCACTCTATGAACTCATGAACTCACTACTAACTGGTTGACACGAGGAACACCCAGCTGCGCAATTAAGGGTTCCTCGAGAAACGATTCGCAAAGCAGCAAATCTTATTCCTGAAATAAATACAGTTTCTGTGCTGTTAAATTCCTGAAAAGCAATGCTTAGCAATTGAAGGAATTTTGATGCTTTGTAACTACACGCAGAAAAAAA